TGATTAAGGATTCCCGACGGAATTCGAAAAGTCACGACAATAAAACACTTTTCTAGATCAGAATATTGTAGGTAATAGGCATTAAGTTTGGTGAAATCGGAGATAGTCTGATATCGAAAAAGCTTCTTCTGCTATTACGTGTGACAGAACCAAATCTCTTACTTTTACGCATTGTGCTATAGGTAGACCCCAAAATAAGTAAGAACATTAAAAAATATATCCCACCCAGAACCAGAAGATTTAATTTGAAGTTGATAAACAGCTGACAAAGCCAAGTTTAAGGAATTGCATTGCTTTTTTAGAAGTAAGAAACTATTTCACTTTAAAATTACTGTCTGCCAATGTTTAAAGTTTTTTTAAGAGGACGGTAGAACAGTTTTGACGGCATTTTGTTTTACCGCATCAATGATTTAGGTCATTAATCAAAACTGAACATAAATGATTGTGAAGATGAAGATAAAACCAATTTTATTAAATCTTAAGCATGCAGCAACACTTTTTTGCACAATATAATTTCCGCTTATGCGTTATTTACGATAGGAAGGCAAAGAAGATCAACCATTTGCTATAAATCAAAGTACATATTTGGCCACTCGTTTTGCATCCGCAAGCTTAGAACAGGGCCTGAAAGTAGTCAACTATGGTGGAAAAAAATTCCAATTTAAAGTAAGAAGTAAGCTGTTCCCTTCTAACCTGAATTGCATCATTTGTTTTCAGGCAATTTAAAAAAGCCGGTCAAAATTCTCCACCCTTGCCTTAATATTACCTTGGAAACAGGGTAACATGCACGGCTGGGTATCTAATTCAAGTGCTTGTTAAGGAGTTAACCTATTAAAGAAAGTCGTTTTTTATTAATCTTAAGAGTAACAATATCAGACTTCTAGTGCAGACGTCCTTTTTGCTCGATTAGATGTTTTAGTGCTTCGAGGAATATCTAAATATGGCCCAATTTGCCACTTTTCCTACACGCAGCAATGCCGAAGATCGCGAGTGATTATCAATCATTCAAGCAAACTTGGTCATTTTGTAGGACTTCCCCACCGTACCTAACAGCCTGAAAGGGATATAATTTCAGAATTTATTTGAAACGCTAGAGCGCATTAAAGACTTTGGTTAACTAGAATAAGCGCGGCAATGTTAAGCAGTCAGCTGCAGACTCTTCGGCGGGCCCCAGTGTTGTCTATTGAGAGTTGTCTTTCCGGTTTGTGCGTTGATATCTTCAGCTGTGGCAGAGGAAAATAAGCGTATACGCATTGTAAATTGCACATCAAGTAAATATCTTCAAACGGCTCCGATAATATTTATTATCAGGCTCATTGTGAAGGAAATAAAAGCGGTAAATACATGCTAACTTATGTAATCACCAAAATAAACCCTATTCTCGCGTCGCTAAACAGG